AATGCCTCAGAAGTGGACCAGAGAGAGCTTAAGTCCTTCTTCCTAACATTGCTGAAAGTACTGAATCATCAAACCCATGGATATGAGATAGGTTTTTAAAACATTCCTGTAGCCTGGAAATCACAGTTCAGTACTTAACTTCAGTAAAAATTTCCTTGCATGTACCCAGCTGGCATTGAAGTGAATAAAGTTTCACCACTTTGGACCAGCTGAATATGTGATCTTTTGTGCGAGTTAATTACTCTAATTTAACACATCCTTTGGTATACATCTGGCTAGGCACAACATTTTCAATTTCTCAAGGTTGATTACATCTTAATAGAAGGAATGCCATTTGGACATTTGCCTTTCTACGTGCTCATGCAGCTATTTCTCCCGGTCTTCAGCACACCACTGTGATAATCATTTGCATGGAAAGCCATCAGTACGATATGGTCTAGCATTTTTGTTACAGTATTTTAGGGCATCTAAATGGGAAGAGGATAGAGAAGATGCTTCTGATGGTGGCATCCTGTCTGGTGAATGCTACTTTATAGGAGTCCTGTCTATGTGAATAGTTTAGATTTTCTCTGTAGTCAGTCTAGAGAAATGGGCACCACCAGATGGGAAGATAGTGCCCAGCCAGGGACAGGTAACTAGGACAGGTATAATGAAACATCCAGCTGAGGAAGCGGAGGGCAAGTTTGATGAAATGTTTTGGATGGTAAGGTCAGGAGAGCTGAGTAAAGAGCTAGCTCTTTGTAGAACTTCTCTCAGTGCTCAGAAAGCAAGACAGTAGGTTTTCTCTGGAAGGTAAATGTCTCCATCCCTCTGTCTCTTTCATTGTTTATACTTCAGCAGATTCCACAGCTGAAGGGAGGCAGCCTCCAAACAGCCCCTTGCAGTTGACATTTGAAAATTTTCCAATATGTTAGCTTGAGAACCCTTGCATTGCTGCTGCTGCAGCACTTCTAGTATCTCAGAAATGGATTTTTTTGGAACAGAAATTGTCAATCTTTGTGATGTAGTACAAGATTAATTTGACTTCCGATTGGAAGCACATTTCCACTAAAAACAAATTAACCCAACCTATAACTCAATACACAACTCAAACTTTAAACAGAGCTCTGTTAACTATTATTTTAATAATTGTTTCCCACTAACTCCTATTCATTTTCTTGATCCTTTGAAATTCCTGGCTCCAGACAAAAACATTAACTATTATGCGAGAAGTGTGAATAACTGTTATTTGCATAGCCAAACTTATGGGGAACTTAAAAATGTCATAAGAGATCCCATTTTCCTGGAATTTCCAGACCCGTTTCAGACGTCCTAAAGTTTGTATGAGCTTATCTCAGAATTTTCACTCTGTGTTTCAGAGACAGAAGGGTCTTGTGTTAACCTCAGGGTGCTCTCTAGTCATCCTTTGCTCATTTCTTAATTTCTTTAAACAATTATTTTGGAAGGGAACTTTTGTAGTTGGTGAGAATATCTTGACTACAAAAAATAAAAAACAGTTGTATTATAATTGATGGATTTAGGGCAGGGAATCTAAATATAGCTTACTCCCATAGTCTTTAAGTTGGAACCTCTGTGACCGACCCGTTAATAAGAAATTGGAGAGAGGAAACTTGTATCCCGTGGGAAATTAAAATTGTAGAAGTACTCTATCTATGTTTAATCTGAAAGATATTTCACATATGTAGGGCTAAATACAAATATAGCTGTAATATTTTCTTTCTATGAAACAGGATTAAAAAAGGGCTTAAGAAACATCAAGTTAATAAGATTTGGGAGCACTTTTGCCCTTTTGTGTGAGTAATGAATTATTTACAGTATGTAGTCTTCAGAGGGTTGGCACAAAACTGGATATTCCCAGAATGGGGAAAAGTCCTTATTTCCTTTGCTGTGTACATATTAGAAGCAAAAATGATGTTATGTAGAGAAATGGACAGCATTAACAAAAGGTGGCCGAATTACTGCCTCAGTGCTCTATCAACATACTCACCAGTTCTTGAAACAATTGTGGTCCAGCTCATGCACAGAAAATGCCTGCTTGTATCTGAATGGTTCTTGTTGGCCAGATCTGCTGCGCACTTTTTCCTTAAGGAAACAGCAAAAAGCATTCAAACAAGTAAACTGTCACCTCGGATACATTTCTGGGTTGGGGTATCAGTTCTGCTGAAATAATTATAAAGGAGCAAGCAACCACTGGGAGCAGAGAAGCTTTGGAACAGAAATGCATAGAAACTTACATGTTTAGGAAAAAAAAATTTAGCCATAAATTTATTCGTATCTTGCTTGGGGTGGTTAGGGAACTGTATGTCTTAGCCCTTTGTCCAGTGCAATCTGACCAAAAAATGCAGAAAAACACTTGCCTTCCATGGGCTAATTTCTTAATTTGTCCATTTGTGACTTTAGTCAGCCTTAGTTTTTATTCCTTCTTGATTTTGACACTCTCTCATTTAGTGAAAGTTTTCCACAGCTGTGACTGGAGGAAGAACTTCTATCCAGGTAACATAAATAATAGAAGTAAAACTATTTAACAGAATTGCACAAGAGAAGTTAACGACTCCTTCCTCAGTTTTCCTACCCAAAATTGCTTAACTTTGGGAGCAGTAAGTTTTAAAGCATGGGCAACAGACAGAAGTACATGCAAGCAGCCAATCAGTCCCTCGTCAGTGATCAGGAGCAACACTGGAGAGCTCAAGGCTGGGCTTCAGGGGGAACAAGCTTTGCTACACCACAGGATGCTGTTGGTATCTCTGTGGGTTATTTCCATTCCCAGTATTCAACGTGTACATTTCCCTTCCATTTGTCTAAAAATAAATAAATAAACATGCTTTCCTCAAAGAGTGGGGAACCAATAAAACTCGTGATTTCATAGAGCATACTGGGTTTGAGTGAAGGGCCAAAGAAGGGTTCTGTAGAAGTGTACCCAGTTTTAAGATCTGTATGGTCTCTAATAGGTGGTATCTTTTTCTGTCAGCAAAGTCATCACTGGATATTCTCCTTTTAATGTTTGTGCCCAGCTGCATACTTGCCTGAAGCAATTTTCTCAAACATATACAAAAGTAAAATTCAGTAGGTTTTTTGCATTGAATTTCACCTATGCACATACTGTCTCCAAAAAGGAATACAGAAAAGCAGCATACACTCTCTTTTACCCTGCAAAATGGAGTTTGATATCGTGACTTGGGCACGCAAAAGCAGGTCAAACTTTTTTAATTCATGTTCAGTTTGTTAATTCCAAACTTCTTGGTTTATCTGGAATCAGTTGCCTGGGGAATTTTTGGAGTCTCCATCACTAGAGGTCAGGTTAGACAAACAACTGTCAGAAGTGATGCTGATGTGGCTCAGAGGTATGGATGGAAGAGAAGGTGCGTTAAGGTCCTTTCCTGTCCTATTTCTGTAACACTAATCAGAAAAGCCCAATTTTATGATATTTTGCTAAAAGCTCGCCTGATTCTGCTCTCATGCAGAGGTCAGTTTGGAATAACTGCTTAGGGCAGTGAGCCAAATTCAGTACATCAGACCAGAAAAGAGATTTTTGAAAGGAAAGAGTTTAAAAAAGAAAAGAAAGGTTAAGAAGGGAAGTGAGATTGTAGCAGTACTTGGTTTTTGTGGTACCAAGTGCAATTGTCTCATTCAGACTGTAGGTACGCTACTGGTCTGAGGCTGAGATCATTAGCTCATGTCAGTGACACTTCATAGAAGTTAATGGATTCAATATGGCTCAGTAATTTCTTTCACCTTTGCTATCTCCCTCAACCATTTTCCCCTTGAAGCAGTCACTTCCCTGAATGGGAGCTCTACTCAACTTAATGTTAATACAGAGTGTAAACAGGAAATACCAAGTCTCACCACAAATTTAGAGCATTGCTAATGCTTTCACGATGTTCAGAAACTGATTTTGAGCTCACTTTGCTACACTAACTTTATGGCATATATTCTTTGATGTCCCAGGAGTAATGCTGGTGTAAATGGTGTAACGAGAACCACAGCTTATGCACAAATGTAAATCTTTTAAGATATGCGGTAATCTGGATGAAGCAGGGGAGCTTCAGGTAACTCTGTGTAAATTTGTTCCAGTACGTTAAGCAGTATTGGCGTGTCAGTCTGAGTCAGTATACGCCTTTTTTGCTGAGCTACTGTCCAAAGGACTTGCGTGGCTGTCTAAGTCTAGGGTTGCTAGAAACCAGTACAATCTTGTGTTGTGTGTAATATAAACACCCTTATATTATATGTTGCCAGCTGGAAGCATAGGATATTTTTATCTAAAGCTTGTTCAGGTGGAAAATGGACTCAAAATAACTATTCGTAAGTTGCTCGTGGCGTAGGAGCTTTTGTTCCAGAATAAGACAACTGTATTCTGAGTATCTACTCTGCTCTCAGTTCATTTCACATGAAACACTTGTAAGTGCTCCCACATAGGAAGATTATCAAGACTCAGTACTGACCTTTGAATTCACAGACTGCTATCCTCCAAATTAATTTCCATGTGTAGATAAATCCTTATAACTGGACAACCCCACAAATTTGGGCCCTTTTGTTGGCATGTTATTCCACAGATACAATTTAAGAAAGAATTTTTTGATTCTGCTACAAGAATGAGTTTTTGTGCTACTTGTACTTCAACTAAAATTTGCCATTGTCAGTTGACAAGTTCTCAGTATATTGGCGAGCCAGCAGAGCATCAGCAGCTGAACTTAGTCTATCTGTTTTGTCGTGTTCCTATTGTAATGCTGTTTGGAGATTAGGTCTCTTCTAAACATAGCAACACTGGTCCAGTCATCCAGGCTTTCTATTGCAGATGACCTAGAGGTTGCAACACAGCCTAATTAAGCTGTTTCTGAGAGTTGCAAGGATGCTATCAAATTGAAATCCGCCAAAGGCATGGATACAGCTAATACAGACATAGCATATTGACAACTTGAGTGCAGATTTCATGTAGTGGAAAAGATAAGGAGACTTTTAAGTGGATTAGGTTTTTGTTGCTGGACCTATATGACCTAAACAGCATAGCCATAGAATGCTTTCATGCTGTTTATGTATACGCACCTGCCTTACTGTCCCACCCCCCAGAACTATAGTGCCCCTCTCTCTTTTGTGTTCAAAAGCAAAGTTTGAAAAGGTCAAAGTGGTGTCAGTTGTTACAAAAAATATCAAATGTCTGAGTATTGTATGATTTTTATCTAAAGCTTGTTCAGGTGGAAAATGGACTCAAAATAACCATTCGTAAGTTGCTCGTGGCGTAGGAGCTTTTGTTCCAGAATAAGACAACTGTATTCTGAGTATCTACTCTGCTCTCAGTTCATTTCACATGAAACACTTGTAAGTGTTTTTATATTTTATATTACTTTATCTTATATTACTTTCCCCTCTCTTATAAATCCGCCAAAGGCATGGATACAGCTAATACAGACATAGCATATTGACAACTTGAGTGCAGATTTCATGTAGTGGAAAAGATAAGGAGACTTTTAAGTGGATTAGGTTTTTGTTGCTGGACCTATATGACCTAAACAGCATAGCCATAGAATGCTTTCATGCTGTTTATGTATACGCACCTGCCTTACTGTCCCACCCCCCAGAACTATAGTGCCCCTCTCTCTTTTGTGTTCAAAAGCAAAGTTTGAAAAGGTCAAAGTGGTGTCAGTTGTTACAAAAAATATCAAATGTCTGAGTATTGTATGATTTTTATCTTCTTCACTTTACATGTGGTCCGGGCCTGCCTTTTTAGATACTAACTGCATGTTGCATGGGTGCTGCCCTGGTGCTCATCATGCTACTGCTGCGGTGATTCAGAAATGTTAATGACAGTCTTTCTCGCAGCCTACAGCAGTACTGCCCTGTTGTACAGCCTAGGAACTGAAGCATAAAGAAAATACTTTAAAATCTATTGATTCTAGGTGTTTGATTGTTAGAAAATACCCCTTCCACCTTCTCTTCTCCCACTTACCCTCAGTTGCTCACTGCTGTTTTGCTTTTTAAACAGGATCGTTTCTTCCTCTTTCCACATGACTGGGATACTGGGCAAGAATTTTCTTGCTCTCAGCTTTAGTGGTAGGGGAGCCTCCAGTGTGCACAAACAATAACTGAAAAGAAAATATACTAAACAGATTTAGGGGACATTCGAGGACTTTGAGGAAACTAAAATAACAACATTTTAGCCAAACCACACATGTTTCTAAGGAGGTATAATTTTCATACATTTGTTCTGACAAGAATTATAAAGCAAGGATTCCAAGTTAATATTAAATCAACAGCTGCTAGGAGAAGGAGATACAGTTGGCTCAGGCATATTGCCTTTATTTTCTGCTGTCCTTCTAAGGTTGGATCCCAGGCTGTTGCTTCCTGTATCAGTGTGTACTGAAAGTTTAATTTTTAGTCTAAATCTAAATCAGCATAGAATGTTTTAAGGAGCAGACGTTGCTTGCACTAGTAATGTAGGGCAGGCAAGCACTGTCCACTGAAGCTAAAAACCAAATGCACACATTCTCTCCAGATCATTTCAGAGCACCAGAATTCTCAGACTAATAACAGTTCATAGTTGAGCAAGAAGAACAGTTTCTGAGCACTGTCAGTAGAGCATAACTAATGTGTTTTTACCTTAGAAGCCCATACATGCACTAATCAGAGGGCTTTCATTGAAACTGTGCCTAATTTGAAATCTGTGGTGTTAACTCCTTCATTGCTATTCTGATTTCTCATCTAATTGCCAGATTTAAAGGGAGTAATATAGTAAGCTTCCACAGTGCTGGAGTATCTTCTTTTGGTTTTGGAGATATTGCATGTAACCAGTGATGGGAAGACAATAGCTAAGGACACCAAATTAATCATGCCATAGTCTCAGATTCAAAAGTGTTTAGGTTGCAGACTAAGCTGAGCTCCACCGTAAATACAAACCCAACTTCCAGATGGGAGGGTATAGAGAACACAGTCAAGACTTTTCTCAGACACGTACAGTGAAAGGATGAGAGGCAAAATGGACACAAATTGCACCAAGAGAAATTCCAGTTAGGTATTAAGAAGAAATTTTTAACCTTGAAAGTAGTGATGCATTGCAGCAGGGGCTCAGAGAGGTTGTGAAATATCCATCAAAACATGGCTGGGCAAGGTCCTGAGTAACCTTGTCTAATTTTGCCCTGCTTTGGGCGTGGGGGTTAAACAAGATGCCCTTCAGATGTTTCCTCCAACATTTTGTGACTCTAAAATACACAATAGTAGCATACTTAAGATTTATGTCTAGAGTCCAAAATAAGTTTGAGAGGAGAAACTGAAATTTAGTAACTGTTCCCAAGGCTTTTTGTGTAAACTTAAAATACAAATAATTCAGCATATATTGTGATCAAAGATAAGGGCTTCAGATCCATATTGACATAAATGAGGCAAGAATCAGTCTTTCAGATGTTAAACAGTATTAATTTTTATTATTTTTTTTTTTTTTAGCTTACCTTCAATCTAATCAGGTCATGGGCTGGGGAGAGAAGGCAATTGAACTACGCTCTGTGGAAACGGGAAATCTGGAAGGAGTATTTATGCACAAGAAAGCACAGAAGCTAAAATTTCTGTGTGAAAGAAATGACAAGGTAAAGAGATGACTACAGTGTGGTGATTAAGCAAAAATGAATAATAGTTGGCTATGGCACTAAGACCATTTAATTTTTATAACTTTGTTTTTACATCCCTATTCAAAGCAAATATAGTCACTGAACCTACAAGGCACTCCCTACAGATATTCCTCTTTCACACCACCCTACTTTAGCCAGGTCTGTTCTATCTCCTATTCCACCCAGCTTTAACTGCTATCAGAGGTGGTAACAAATACAGACATTGCTAACTGGCCAGACTCCAGCACAACTGGTGGAGTGGGGAGGGCTAGTGAGCCAGCCTTGATGATGCCCAACTACAGGACTGCCTCTCTTGGGCTACTGAAATTACAGGCAATTCAGAGCAGCCATCATGGAAAAAAAAAAAACCAACTCTCTAATATTTGAGATATTGCAGGCACTAGAGTATGGATAAGCAAGTATGATTTCTTGCATATAGCAGTTCTTGATAAATATTCTGTGAAATCTGCTTGGTTCCACTGACATATTTAGAAAACTGGGGACCCAAAACTGTTTAGATTAATCAATTATTTTAAAATGTTCTCCCGTGTCTTCTAAATAGGAAAAAAAAATACCAAAAGATATATCCCAGTTGTACCATAAGTGCAGTTTCACTTTAAAAAGTTTCTCATGGGATTAAAATTGAATTGTGATATATATATTCTTGTATTTGGGACTGTGGCATTCCCTCAGAATTCCTGTATGGGTAAAAATATTGTCATAAATGTAAACTGACAGTAGCATCTTTTTTTTTTCCCCCCCCTTTCAAGGTGTTCTTTGCATCTGTACAGTCAGGAGGCAGCAGTCAAATATACTTTATGACTCTTGGTCAAAACGTACTGTTCAACTGGTAAATCACATCAAAATGAAGGATGCTTTGAAATTCCCTGTAGGTAGCAGTGTAAAATGCTTGGAGGTAATATACACAAATTTGCACTTTTTACCTACAAAAATTTTGTTGTTATTAACTTATCAAAATTCATATTCTTTCAGTTTGGAAAGAATTCTATTTTCCTGTCAAAGTATTGCAAACATGTTTAGTTTGTGTTCTAAAATATGTTGCAAACCAAGATTGTACTCACAGTGTTAGGAGAAAACTTTAATGAAGAATGTAGCCAATATAAGAAGCTCCTGTACTCTGAAAAGTGCATAGTTTCATTTTCACAGATGATACAATGTTGTTATTTTGAACTGAAGTCTCTTTTTTGGACAGCAACATCTGTAAGTAGACATAAAAACACAAACACGTTGGGGTGGCAAATTGGAATCTATTTTGAATTGAGTTTTGGCTTGTCTTGCATTTTAAGCAAGCTGTTCCTGTTTCACTAAGGCTCCCTTGTCCAAGTCGTATGATCAGTGAAAGAGCACCCGTTGATGATGGGGCCTAACGCAGCCTGGGATGCTTGAGGGCTCATACGCTACGTTAGGTAGAGGTGCATTTCACTGCAGAACTGTAAAAGCAGCTACTTGTAGACATGTGCCCCATCAGGTAGATTTTACAAAACACAGGGGACAGACTTCATGTTTCTCTCAGGGCTGGACGCCTGAGCCCATAGACACAGTTACTGTAGAATGTATTTGTAAAAATAGTTTAAATAGTAGTTTGTCAAAATCATATATGCATAAAGCATTATGGACCTGAACCTGTAACTTCAGACACGCGACCCACGCTCATCTGAGCTGATTTAAAGGCACTACCCATGTATATAAGGGCACAGGATGAGGCACCTTCTTTTCTTCCCTTCTTTCTCTTCCAGCATAAAGTCGTCATGTATTTGTGTGTAAATATAATCTTTCCACAATGGATGTTAAGATTAACAAATATATTCTTAATATAGTTACAAAAATATCCAAAGAGTTAATCTATTATAAATAGAAAATACAAATAATTTCAGGTGCTTTCTGTGCTAATCACATCTAAATAAAGCTGCATCCACTAGTGTTATTGGTGCCAGTGTTTCTGCATAAACTCTGTTCTCAGGGGCTTGTAACTTGGCCATAAAAATATACAGATATAATATATATATACTGTGTATAATCGTATACTATGATTAAACTGTAGGGTTTAATATAATCCTCATTCAGCTGATTTTTGGATGCGCTTTGAAAATGTAAAGCATCAAATGTAATACAAAAGAGCTCATTCCAGACATGATACAGTATGGAGGACACTGTAGGCAAAAGTGAAATCACTAGCTACAGTGTTTGAAAATAGGTATTTTTTACTTGAAATATGTGATACTGAAAGGTGCAGGGAAAGTGTGTTGGAATATCTGGTAGTCTACCTCAAGGATGATGATTCAAAGTTGACTAAGAAGGGGAGAAATAAAGTTGTTAAAACTGGTAGCTGTTTTGTACAGTATGTCAGGTTAAGTTAGTGTTAGCAGTCGTGCTGTGACTGACAGGTGCTCAGATCGCAACCATCAGCTCCAGAACTGGTATCCTTGTATATGTCAGCAGAGAATCGAACTAGGGGCTAATCCCCCTTCCCCGTGTTGGCACCTCGACTGCTGCAGGCAGCTCAGAGATGCCAACACTCTTGCTGTCTATGTTCTTTGGCTATGTGGATGACTGCACTTTCCAAAGTTATTAACCTAGCACTTTTCACAAGCACTAGCTTATCTCGAAATGCATAGTGTTTTTTTATGAAGTATTTTCCTTTTAAGTGTTTTATCTTACAGAAAAATAAGCCTAAGGCCATATTAAAAAATATGCGCAGTTAAATACTCAAAGTGGTTCTTAATGTATGCAAGTAATCAGCTTGTGTGCAGACTTAAAATCTAAATGGTATACTGTGCTCAAGCAGAGCTGTGTGAAAACAGGAGGTCTCTGTCTAGTTGTAGTCATGTTCCTACCTGTTGCCAATGCTAGGACTGGGGCAAATGAGCAAAACGTGGCTTGGCTCCCTATGCTACTGAACACTGGGCTTGTTCTGTTCCAACTTTAAACAACTACTGAAAAAAAAAAAAAAACCCAACCAAAAAGCCAAAACAAAACAAACCCTAACCTGTAACAGAAACAGAGATGAAAGAGAAAATAATTTGCAGACAATCAGAAATACAACTTACTTGCTTTTGACTTAAAATAAAAAGTCTGAGAGACTGTGAAGAAAGAACAGCTTTGACTTTGTACCCAGTAGGTGTACAAAACTTGCTTGCAAAACTGCTTGTGCTATAAGCAATTAGTGATCCAGGCTGCCCTATAATAGTTTTTAAAGTGTGCTTATCTCAGCAGCCTCTGCATTATGTGGGATGCAAGTGAATTTTTTCCCTCTCCCATTTTGGTGTCAACAGGTAGGAGACAGATTTTT